GCTTTCGAAATCGACGATAAATTATTGTATCCGCACATACATATATACACACACATATACACTCACTCACACACACACATCATCACTTTTTTTAAGTATGTTTTCGAAATGTTCAGAAATCTTTGAAGCATGAAAATTAATTATAAAAAGAACAAATTAAATTAGATTTTTTTTGAAAATTTTTAATTGTTTTTTAATTTTGAAAACATTTTAGAAATTTGCATATTAAAAAAATGCATTTTTTGGAAACAAATGCAATGTTTGGAAAAAAATGTTTAATAGTTTGGAACTTTCTGATTTTTTTTTTTAAGTTTTGATATTTTGATTTTTTTTAAAGTTATGCCAAAATTTAATGCGATTTTTTTTAGAAATGTTTTAAGCGTAAAAATATATACGGGCGAACAAATTAAATTAGATTTTTTTTTTTGAAAATTTTGAATTGTTTTAGATTATTTTGAAAACATTTAATAAAAATTGAATATTGAGAAAAATGCATTTTTTTTTTAAAAAAAAAGGTAATTTTTGGAAGGAAAATGTTTAATACTTTTAAAAAAAAATTGTTTGTAATTGTAAGTTTTAATATTTTGAAATTTTTTGAAAGTTATGCCAAAATGTTCAGAAACCTGTGAAGATACTCAAAAATCTTCATTATCAGTTTTTGGACGATTACAATAACTAATCCGACAAAAAAAAAATATTAAAAATTATATTTTATTCTATAAAAGTTTTTACAATTTTCGGAAACGAACTATAAATAAGTATTTTATATGAGGGAATTGTGTTGACAGGTGTTGGGTACAAATACGTATATACATATATACATATATATATACACACATATATATATATATATATATATATATAAACTTTATTGTTATAAATAAAAAATCACTTAAAAAATAATTTAAAGTTTTAGTCCAGTTTCACCTGCTCAACTTTTCATAAAGATTTATTACCTCGATGTTAATGTTTTTATTATTATTATCCTGACAGGTACAAACCTCAAAAAATAACTGTGTCCAAATAGGTGTGAATAGAGTCACTTTTTTATTAGTATTTTTTTTTTACTTTCCTTAGCATATTTTCAAGAAAAAATAAGTTTAAAAAGTTTTGAATTCTCGATGTTTTACGTCATTCTGAATCGTGCTGATTAATTTTTGGCAAATATCAGTTGGGTCGTTTTTTCATAATTGATTGATAATATTGCTTTGTTTATATGTAAAATACGCCTGATCGCACGGCAAATGAGTAGACATCTTCACAATTTTCAGTATTACAGCTCTTTGTTATGGCAGAATTACCCCATAAATTTCACATAAAAGCTCTTTTCTAAAACCTTAAATAACTTCTAATATTATAATAAAATTTAAATTTAACGTATCATTTATCACGTGTCCATTTATTTCCATATTTTCTCAATATCATTCACATCGTATTCCAATTTAATTTTTTTTTATTTTTTGAATTGGAATATTTTATTCTCCCTTCTCGAATGAAATTAGTTTCACGAAATGCAAAGTCGAATTGTAATGAAAATGTTCTAGTCATAGTAATATATATATATATATATATATATATATATATATATATATATATGTATGTATGTTTATATTTTATGCAAGTAATCCTTTTTAGCGTGGAAAAGGGTGACGAATTTAACAGGATATTAATTTTTTTTATTTGTATACGGACGAATAAATAAGGGTGCGAGGTTAAAGGTTCTTGTGTTGCGATAACAGGGTTCAGGGTTCGAGCTAATATCAGGCTAGGCGTATGTGGCAATTTGCTATAAGATGTGTAAATTTTTTACTCAAACAAGACATGAATTCATTAGTAGTACACACTTTTTCAAATATGTATACTGATTAGTTTTTTTATGTATTTTGTAAACTATTCGCGTAAAACTAATAGTATATTAGAGAAATTTGTGCAAAAATAAACAATCTAAAATATTGTCTAATATTACATTGCCGTATAACAACTCGGTATACTCATAAATCGCAACAGAAAGACCAATATATATCATTTATATTGTCATGTAGTTATCAACCAAGAGAAAGTGCATTTATTTGCAAAATTGTTTGTAACTTTTAAACTAGTTGGGGAAAATTAATAGTGTATTAGAAAAATTTGTACAAAAATAAACAATGTAAAATATTGTCTAACATTACATTGCCCTAAAACAACTCGGTATACTCGTAAATTGCAACAGAAAGTCCAAAATATATCATTTATATCATCATGTAGTTTTTAACAAAGGGAAAGTGCATTTATTCACTAAAAAAATTATAACTTCTAAACGAGTTGGGAAAAACTAACAGTGTATTAAACAAATTTGTTCAAAAATAAACAATCTGAAATATTGTCTAACACTTCATTGCCCTACAACAACTCGGTATAATCGTAAATTGCAACCAAAAGTCCAAAATATATCATTTATATTGTCATGTAGTTATTAACTAAGGGAAAGTGCATTTATTCGCTAAATTGTTTGTAACTTCTAAACTAGTTGTAGAAAACTAAGAGTATTAGAGAAATTTGTGCAAAAATGAACAAATTAAAATATTGTCTAATATTGCATTGCCCTACACATAGATTTTAGGTACACGTTTACTTGCGCTTTTTATGCTAATTGTAAAGAAACGGTCTAACGGATCTTTTTACAAAACTAGACGTCTGAAGTTTTTATCTAGTTACATCAAATGGCTTTAGAAATATTGAGATCGGTTCTGGGGTTTTTGAGAAAACGTCGACGAAAAGACACATTTTGACTCACATATGAAAAAGATTTTCAATTTTGGTGTCAAACGATTCAGAATGACTTGAAACGTCAGAAAAACATAAAATTGGCAAGTTAGATTTTATAACAACACATAATGCAAATGATGTAATTTTTTTGCAACTTTCCAACATTTTATGCTCTTACTATAGAATTTTTAATTGGAAGTTACTTTATATCCTCTTTGCAATTTTAGTGTCAAACGATTCAGAATGACCCGAAACGTCGACACAAATAATTTACATAATATTAAATGAATACTAGTGTTGTAAATTTATACGATTCTGTAATTTTCATCCTTTTACGAACGCTTTAGATCGTTTAAATTATTATAATATTTACTTTAATTTTTTTAATTTAGATTTCATTCACGAGTATATTCATCTTATTAATAAAAAAAAAGAACTAGGTGTAGGTGACATTTTTTTAAGCCAAGTTGCCTTAAGCTTAAACAAAAAGACCAAAATTAAAACATAACACATAATTATAAGTATTTTTTTAGCTTCACAAGATTCTTGGTCGCTTAAGACGCGCTCCTGGAAAAACGTCTTAAGCGGGTCATGTTATTTACATTAATATCGTCATACTTTAGTCATATAAAACAACTTTAAATAATTTTACACCCATCAAAATTTTCAAAGTCTGATTTCCACCCTCCGTTAACAAAATGCCTCGTTTATATTACACGGCAGAATTTTATGAAGGGCTGTTTCGTTCCATCTATTTTTTTTTCATATATATATCGTATAAGAATTCAAGCGTGTAAATGCGTAAAACTAATAAAGGAACTCTACCGCTTTTTATTCCATACGAATTGTTGATACGGAACTGTGCAGAATTAGTACGTAATTACTTTTCATAGTAATTAGAAAATTCTGCTGACGAAGAAAAAAACATATTACATAATAGGAAGGAAATATAAACATATGACCGTACGAATCTGACGTCAATACTGCTTGATATCAAGCTGACTCGAATCCGAAATCAGTGTAACTAGTAAACCAGTTCATTTTTTAATCAAATTTTAATACCTATATAAAATTTGAATGTACGCAGTTTAAAATACCTATATAAATGTACAAACGTCTCATGTGAATATTTGACGTCACTACTGCTTGATATCAAGCTGACTTAAATTCAAAATCCGCGTAACGTTCTTTTTTTAATCAAATTTTAATCCATGTATGAAATTTAAACGTACTAATGTCTCAAGTGAGTATTTGAATTTACTACCGCTTGATATCAAGCTCACTCAGTAGTTGTTTTTAAATAAAATTATGTTTATTTTTAAATATAATTTAAATTACAAAATATTACTAATGTTGTTTTTCTAATTTTATCTCGTTTCCGGTAATATTATTTTGTTTATGTCAATTTTACGATCTAAAGTGATCGTAAAAGGATAAAAATTTACAGGATCGTATAAGTTTACAACATTAGAATTTATTTAAAAATTATATTCAGAATTGTTTTGAAAAAAAAAACACTTATGGGGCAATTCTGCCTCATAACATAGCGTTGTCATGACAACATGGAAACTGTGAAAATGTTTATCTGTTTGCTGCGCGATCAGGCGTATTTTACATTTAAACCAGCAAGGAAAATGTTATACTCAAATTAACTAACAGACTCTTATTGTTCAATTTAAATTTGTTTTATTTTATTTATTTATTTAATTTTAACATTTGTTATTTCAGTTTACTATTTTTTACTTTCACTTCTTTTCTAGCACTCTAAAATATTTATATCGTAGTAATTATAACTTTATTTATTTTATTTAAAAAATTATTTAAATTGCGTTATTGAAAAAACTTACTTACTATTCATTAAAATATTATTTCACTTCCTCATTTAAACTACCTTTTTTATTATTTTTTAATAAGAAAATATGTATTTAACTTTAATTGAAATAGTCATTTAATATTTCAATAAAATTTATAAACACTATATTTATTTATTTGTGAGTTGTGATTTATAAACTTTAGTTTACTGTTCGATTTTTATTATTTTATTCAAGATTTACAATTTATTTTAAGGTTTCTATTATTTTCATTTTATTCTGAACTAGTTTTAGTTTTAGTTTTAATATACAATAGTATTTATATTTTATTTCGATTCGGTTCTGTTCGATACAAAATATGTTTTATTTTTATTGGGGTCAAAAAGTCAGATCTTTGTGTAATCTAAAATCTGGAATCAGTCGATTTTGAGGAATTGCGATGTTTGCATATGGATACTAAACTATATAAATTTTATAACAAATTCAAATAAATAAAAAATAAGATAAAATTATACCTGTAAAAAATTGTGCAGTGCAAGATGAGTTGTCCTATGGGGTACAATGGATCCAAGGGGTAGGATAATAATATTTTATTTAAAATACATTATATATGTATATATCAATTTTTAAATAAACTTATATTACAAATTACTTGATATAAAATAGATAATTTTTTTCTTATAAAAATAAAGTACAAAATATGATCTTAGTATGTTTAAAATGTTAGATCCTTCCAATTTAACTTATTTTAAGCGAGTTTTAAAATAAAATAGTAAGCTTATCCAAAAATACTACGTTTTGAGTTATATATGAAAAATATGTATTTAAACTTTTTATATTTTTAACTTAATTTGAAAATTTTAATAAATCACATTAACATTTTTTATGAAACGTTATTATTAATAACATACTCAATATTATTAATATTAATTAATACTAATTAACAATTTATTAAATTATTTTGAATTTAATTAAATGATACAACAACAATGTTTTATTAAAACTATAAAATACTATTACGTCAATTTTCGAAAAACATTATTCTGTTAATTAAAATTAATAACTTAAATAAATTAATTTTTTATGAATTTATCTAAAAATGTTTGTTTCAAATTTCAGAACATTTTAAATTAATTTATATCCTAATAAAAGAATTATTAAGTTTTTTATCAAAAAGTTACCTAATATTATAGGAGATAAAATTGATAACAAATGTGCTTTAGTGTTATCCGCTCTCAACAGAGGGTCTACTGTGCTCAAGTTTATTTAAAGTACTCTTTCAATTATAATATACGTACATTCAATTAATACTCGTATATTTTGTTCTCATTTCAATTATTCAAATTATTCAGGTGTATCTTTTTTCTGTCATCTTCTATATATATAAAAATAAGTCATGTTTTCCTTCCCGACGAAATAACTCCAGAACGCACGAACCGATTTCGACAATTTTGCATTCGTTGGAAAGGTCTCGGGCTCCGCAAGGTTTATAGCTAAGAAAATTAGTGGTGCATGGCATCGTGCCCTAATGCAAATTGCTGGAACTTCACGCACCGTAATTAAAAATTCGAGTAATGACATTATTGAGAATTATCAGAATTATGCTTGGTTGAAAGTCAACGAGCAATTCTTGCCGCAAAGAATAATGATATACACGCACTGAATTTTACCATTCAATCAAAAATTGCTGGCGATTTGGTGACATACCAATGATTCCGACTGGTCTTCCGTTTGACTTCAAACGATTGCAATTTCCAGTTCGCCTTGCGTTCGCAATAACAAGTGGTAAAGCCAATCGCTTAGTGTTTGCGGGATAAATTTCAAATAGATTATTTAGAAAATCATTGTTTTTCACATGGGCAGTTATACGTTGCCTGTTCACGAGTTGGAAAACCGCCCGCTCTGTTTGTGTTAAGGTCAGACCAAAAAACAAAAAATGTGGTTTACCAAAGAGCACTTCAATGAAACGGATAATTTGCGGATTCACTTTCATTTACTTAGATAAGTTCAACTAAAAAACACTTCATTTTTGTAATCGAAATAAATTCATTAGTGTTGTATAATAAAATCAAATTTTTTCTTTTCAAATATAAAACAAACAAAAAATTTCTTCATCTTTCTCACGAAACCATCTGGTGGCGAAACGGAGTTCGTCGGGTTTGCTAGTATATTTATATAAAACTTATATATATATATATATATATATATATATATATTTTGTATGATTCTGAATTATATATATATATATCTAGAAGTAAATCCAAGGATAATGTTACGTGCTATAGTTAGTGGCGCATCTTTGGACTACTGAAATAATTAAAATTGAAGTAGATTTATTGTTCTAAATGTTTTTTTAACTTTTGCCTATATAAGATCCATTACAATCGTTGCAGTCTATTATATAATCTAAATTAATTCCATATAAGTAGCGTCATGTTATTTTTAACATTAAAGGCGTTACTAAATATTTAAATATTTATTAATTATTATTATGAATGAACCAAGTGATTTAGATTTTTTACGATAACAATTTCCGATAAGAATAAATCGTAGAATAATTAGCGCGCGTGTGCTCCATTATAGGAATGACGTGTTTTCAGGGTTGCCGTCAGATAACTTTTGTTTATTTCAACAAAATATCAACATTATTACAAATACGATGTGTTACGAAACACATATATGTAACGACACGAAATTATCACTCCGGAATGTATGTTTTTAAACAAATCAAAAACTAGCGGTGTATGGCATCGTGACTTAAGGGAAATTGCTGAAACTTCCCGTAACGTAATGAAATATTCGAGGAATATTAAATGTTTTCAAATATATTATTATAAATACTGTAACTTACATATGTTTACAGGAAAGTAACAAAACTGAATCAATCGAATTTAAAATGAAGGACATTGTCTAATATTTATAAGAATTATATAAACTAAAATGCAAAATTGAAATTATTTATTTGAAGTATATTAGTGAACTTTAGAACTTTAGCCAGAAATAAAAACTTAGAATTATTTTCGATATTCAAAAAAAAAAAAAAAAAAATCAGAAAAAATATGATAAAAAACTTCCAAAAGCAATCGTTTTGTCAACACAAGCAAAAAGTTTTTTGCTTATCCCAAAAATTGCTTTTGAGGATGAAAAATTATAACATATTTTTTTATTTTCCATAAAATATTTTTGTAATTTTGGATTAAAAATTCAAAAAATTCAAAAAATTTACCAGACTAAGCACAGTCTAAGCGCCACTCTGGTACAAATGTTTACCCGAGTGCGTTTAGACTGTTCATGTACTGGAGCACATTTCCAATATTGTGAGAAAACTATTAAAAAATGTGAAAATGCCGCCAAGCTGAGCACAGTATAAGCGAAAATATCACACAGAATTATTTGCAAATGCGTTCAGACTGTGACTGTACGGGAGCGCTTTTTCAATTTTGTGTAAAATAGGCAACTATTTTTTTTTTTGAAATTTAATTCGAAATGAAATGACGGTTGTTAATGGAGATAAATTGATTTATGATTTATGATTTAGATTTGATTTGCTCACTCAGATATAAGATAGCAGAAATAATGAAAGTTACAGTATTTGTTGTAATAATATATTTGAAAACGTTTAAAATTCCTCGAATATTTCGTTACGGTGCGAGAAGTTCCAGCCTAAGGCACAATGCCATACACCACTAGTTAGATTTGTATTAGACTCTTATTAGATTCTAGGTAGATGATTATAAAATTATAAAAAACAAAAAATTAATAACATTAACCACAGAAAGTTAAATTAAGGGTTTTATGCACAATAATTTTAATATTCGTCTATTGGCCGATTTTGTATCTGATTTATGTTTTATTGTTTTAATATAAGTGACGTAATTATACAAAATATTCAGCAGAATAACATATAATTTTGAATAATTTGATTTTGAACAAAACAAATAAATCAATTTCTTTAATTTAAAAAAACTGTGTAGTCAGTTTATAAATTTTTATGCACCAATCAATTCAAAATTGCAAAAATATTCGTGTGAGTAAAACAGAACTTACAAATAATTTTAAGTACTTATTAGCTACTATTAAGGCATTTTAGGAAACAAAAATTTAAAATCCTAGAAATCTCTGAAATAAAACGTGTTAATTCTTATTTTATCTATATGCTTTGGTAAAAGCATTTGGCACCTAAAAATGTATTTTTGGTATCTAAAAATATGGCTAATTTTTTTTTATTAGTGTTAATTTTTTTTCAGGGATCCTGCTCAAGAAGGCGACCAGCTAGACAACCAGGCCGGAATGTTATATGGAGAATATTTAATGCTGGACAAAGTTTTGGGAGCCCAAAGAATGCTCAGCTCTGGAGGCGAAAAACACGTTCACGATGAACACTTGTTTATTGTCACACATCAAGGTAATAGAAAAAAATAATTAAATATCTAATATATATATATATATATATATATATATATATATATACATATTAACTATATTTTTGTTTCCAGCTTACGAATTGTGGTTCAAACAAATTCTATACGAATTAGATTCTATAAGGGATCTTTTTGGAGCTCTACGTTTGGAGGAGTCACAAACTTTGGAAATATTGAAGAGATTAAACAGAGTAGTACTTATACTCAAGGTATATATATATATATATATATATATATATATATATATATATATATATATATAATCTGACCAATGTTATGGCAAAGCTATGTTATGAAGAACTTTCCATACTGAATATTGACAAAAGCCATTGCGGTTGTCGCACAGTCAGGCGTATTTCTCAAGCTGTCGCATAGCAAACCTTACCTAGAAACCGCATAAATGTCAATAAAACGATGTTAGATAACAGGTTCGTTCTGACTCAGCTTCATAACATACGAGTGACGTTGCAGTTTACGTGAAAAACGCCTGAATGCACATCAAATACATGACATTTTGACAGTATTCAGTATGATTCAGTGGCATAATGTATGGTAATATGGCCTTGCCCTAAAATTTTTCTGTTATGCGGCCGAATCGGCAAATAAATTTGTTATTTATAATTACCTAAGTGTTTGTGTCTATTTCTAGTTGCTGGTGGATCAAGTCCCAATTTTGGAAACAATGACGCCTTTGGATTTTATGGATTTTCGAGATTATTTGAGACCAGCTTCAGGGTTTCAGAGTTTGCAGTTTCGATTGATCGAAAATAAAGTAAGAAATAACGTTATTTAGGCCTAATAGAAAATATTTTAAATTAGATATATATATATATATATTATATATATATATATATATATATATATATATATATATATATATTGATATTTTGAATATGAACTGAGATTTTTTATATTACCTATAATCTAAGTTGGATATAGATGCACAAACTGAGCAAAAAAAATTTAAAATCGGTTCAGTGATTTAGGAGTACATTCCGGACACACGTCGTGATTACGTTCTTATATTACCGACGTGGACTTTGCTCTTTTATTAAATATTTTTGTCACTGTTAAAAACTGTGGTTTGTCTCAAATAAATTAATAAATTTAATGAAATATTTTTACATATTTCACAACGATAATATATTGTCTATTTTTCTACATGATATAGAAAAAAAACAACAAAAATAAGATAGTTCAACGTTAAGCAAATATATCAATAACAATAAAAAAAATTAAGCAATTTATTCTGAAAATTATTAAAATATAGTAAAAATGTTGGTAATTGCTACATCAGATAAAAATTAAATTATATTTTAATTATAAGATTTAAATATAAATTGTGTTCTTGAACATTTGCTCCAGCTATGCACCTTTTAAATAATTTTTCTCTTGAATTAAATTTTAGGGTTATTGGAATAGCAATACTGATTATTCAAAATAACATGCTCTACAAGGATATATTCTTTGTCATTTTTTTTAATTAAAAGATTTTTTTTTTTAAGAAAATGACAATGAAAAGGATCTAGAATCAATTTACTTTATTTCACTCACGATTGTACAAATATTTTCCGATGCGCACAAATAGTACACAGTTCATGAATGTTTTTGCAAAAAGAGCAAAAATATTAAAATTGAGAAGATATAATAGTTTTTGAAAGGAAAATAGGTAACACACAAATATAAGGCCTTTTATAAAACCTTGAATACCTAAATGTGCCAATTGAATTTGAATTACATCACTTTCAGATTAGAGTGGCACTTGCAATGACTATTAACATATACAAAGTAACATTTATATGTGACAAGCATTGCAGTGGGTAAATCATTCATTTGATTTGTGTTAGCTACCCTGTTCACTTAAATACCAAACACTTCTTCATTCACAATCATCAGTTAGAGTTATTTTTTATACTGAACGAGTAGCTAGTATAAATTAGAGTGGTTCTTAATATGGATTTTTTGAATTTCATTGATCCCAGGGGCTCAAATGCTTCCAAATTGATAAAAGAAAATTCATCAAATTTTGGTTGTAAATTCATTATTTGTGATTAAAATAAGCAAATGCGATGTTATTCTCAAAATTCTAAAAATTCTAAAGAACAAATGGAATTTTATTTATATTATTTCTTTAAGAAACATAATTGGAGTGCGAACTATCTTAGAGTTTATATTGAGAGCTAAAACTTTCAGAGAATTTTCTTTTATCAATTTGGAAGCATTTGAGCCCTTGGGAGCAAAAAAAATCGAAAAAATCCATATTAAGGACCACCCTTATAGTACAAAAAATAACTAACTGATTGCGAATGTAGAAGTGTGTAGTATATAAGTGAACGGAGCCTCTGGGAGTAAAAAAAATTGAGAATATCTATATCAAGGATCACCCTAATCTATTATCTATTATCTATTTTTTCTAGTTGGGTGTAAAGACAGATCACCGTGTAAAATACAACCAGCGTTACACCGCCGTCTTCGGTCACGACCCGGACGCCATGCGCCAGATCGAGGCCTCCGAAAACGAGGCGACCCTCAGCGACCTTGTTCAGTCGTGGTTGGAGCGGACACCAGGCCTAGAACTGGACGGATTCAATTTTTGGGGAAAATTCCGAACGGCCGTCGAGAAACAATTGAGCGAACAGAACGACGCAGCCTTGGTAATAAAAGACTTATGTGTCAAAATTCTGTATCTATAGTGTCTATTTGCAATTTTGGTACTGTCAACTAACCTCCAAATAGCACAAGGGAGAAGACACAGTAACATAAGTACGACTTTGCGCCAATTTTATTTAAAAATGCAACAACAATTTTACAGTACGCCCTTATATGCCCAAAGTGCTACCATAAACGACACTGAAACATTAAACCTAGTACAGGCTATTACACTTATAGTATCAATTTGTACAAACTAAGTGTGATTTAATTGTAAGATGTGTATCCGAGATTAGACCTTGAGTCTTCTATTAATTTGACAAATAAGTAAAATAAATTATAAAAATTATTAATAGAAATTAAAAATGATGACTACGTTATAAATAAATAATTTAACAATTTCTGGATGTTAAATCAAACACGCATTTTCTGCGTACATGATAATAGTAATGAAATTGATAATTTGTTAAGCAAAACCAATTGCAAATTAATTTTTGTGCATAAATATAAATTCTAATTCTAAAATCCTAATAAGAATCTTATTACATTTTGTTGAGAATAAAATCAAAAATCAATAAGAATCTAACAAAAAACAAATACGAACCCTACAAAAACCTATAAAGATTTTAAAAAAAATTAATAGGAATTTTATAAGAACCTAATAAGATATTTACTAAAAAATTCTTTGTAAAAACTTATTTCGTAATAGTAAACATTATAGAAATTGTATTAGAATGTAATCATTTATAAAAGTTGATATGTCATGAAAATATATTCGTTCTATGATTCGCCATCAAAACAACTCTAATTGCCACAACACTCCCCTTTGAGATAAACCTTTTTCTATTTATTTTGGTTTATATTAAATATAAATTCAAATTATTATAAAAATATATAGATAAATGTAGACTCTTGAGGTCTTAATATTTATTCTCTTTTAGAAAAAAAATCAGTACGAAGTTTTGGTAATAAAATACGTATGTGCTTATTCTGGGATAACATAGATGTGTTATTTTATTAGTCTTATGTGGTATCATAATATGAGTATATTGAACAATAGTTGTTCTCGGTGCACTCATTTTAATTTAACAAAACATGTTTTCTTTATATTAGCTTTCAATGTGTTTGTCCTCACGAAACTGTCAAAAATTTACACTTATGAGCGTTTATTTAAAATTTAGGTGCTGTCAACTAACCTCCAAATCGCATGAATGTCAAAACACGGTAACATTAGTACGACTTTATGCAAATTTTATTTAAAAACGCATCAAAAATTTTACAGTACGTCCTTATATGCCCATACTGCTACCATAAACGACACTGAACCTTGAAACCAAGTTTCAAGCCAGCTTTTATACTTATAGTAACATTTGGTGTATAAAATAGACCTCAGGGCAAAATGTATATATATATATATATATATATATATATATATATATATATATTCATTTATTTATTTTCCTTTAGCGAGAAGAAATTGAATCAGTACGAAATTACAAATTGATGGACATCCAAAAACGCAGAGAAGTCTACGATTCGATATTTAATCCAGAGGCGCACGAAGCTTTGGTATCACGAGGAGAAAGAAGGTAAAACATTTAATTAATACCCATTTAATATTTTTTAACTTCCCGTAGGGTAGTTATAGTAATGGGCCGAAAATTGAAAATGAAAATTTTGCATTTCTCGACGCTTTGAAGGTTTCTGGTCATTTTTAAGGCATACCTCAGAAACTAAATGAATGTGTGTGTGGAAAAATAGATCATTACATCTTTTTTTATTTTCCATAAAATATTTTTGTAATTTTGGATTAAAAATTCAAAAAATCACCCAGGCTAAGCACAGTCCAAGCGCCACTCTTGTGCAAATGTTCACCCGAGTGCGTTTAGACTGTTTATGTACGGTAGCACTTTTCCAATTTTGTGAGCTAAGCACAGTATAAGTGAAAATGTCGCACAGAATTATTTGCAAATGCGTTTAGACTGTGACTATACGGGAGCACTTTTCAATTTTGTATAAATTATTAGGCATGTAAATGTCTTGTAATTATTAGGCATGTAAATGTGTAAATTATTTCTTTTTTTTTAAATTGAAATCGAAATGAAATGACGATTGTTGTTAATGAATGAGGACATATCACACTTGTCAGAAACATAATTAGTAAATCAGAAATTAACAAGGATCCAATAAGAACAAAAACATAATGATCTAGAAGAATCTTATGATCCACTTTAAACACAATCTTTTAAGGATCCTAATAGGTTCTTCTAGAATTCTAATGGAATAATATTATATTCTGAATAATATTCTGATTTGGTTTTTCTTAGAGTCTTATTATATTCTTTAGCCATATGAATCTAATAACATTCTAAAAAGAATCTTATGAGGATCTGAAAAGAATTTTCAAGCCATAAACATAAGAATATAATAGAAATTTTGAGAAGATCTCAGAAGAATCTTATATGAATCTATCAAGAGTCTTATTATGTCCTTATAAAATTTTCATTAAGTTCTTTCCAAAATCATATTATATTACACCTAAAAACGTAATAAGAATCTAACAAGACTCCAAAAATGTAATAAGAATTTAATAAGACTTCAATGAGGATTTATCAAAAATCTGGATAAGAATCTAACAAGAATCTTATGATCCTCCGAAAAGAATCTTAATAGGATCTGAGAAGAATCTTTCAAGAATCTTAAAAGGTTCTTATAATATTCTCATAAGGTTCTTATCAAATTCTCATTAGATTTTTTATCGTGAGAATCATAGCACTTGCCAAAAACATAACAAAAATTTAATAAGAATGTACTAAAAATTTATCAAGAATCTTATGAAGAATATCCATAAGAATCTATCAAGAATATCGGTAAGAATCTAACAAAAATCTTATGATTCTCTGAATCTTAATACGAATCTGAGAAGAATCTTTTTAGAATTTTAATAGGTTCTTATAATATGATTTGGTTCTTCTTAGAATATTATTATATTCTTATTACATTCTCAAACAAAACAAAAATCTTATGAGAATCTATAAAGAAAAATCTTGATAAAAATCTCAGAAGAATGTTATGTGAACATTCTAACAAGAATTTTCTAAGGATCTGAGAATAATCTTCAAGCTCTAAATCACAAGAATCTAATAAACATTTTAAGAAGATTTGAGAAAAATGTTATGAAGAATCTGAAAAGAATCTTAATTTGTTCTTATAATATTCGCATTAGGTTATTCCCAGAAGGTGTGTGTGTGTGTTTTGTATGTTCGCATTTTTTAGTCCACGTCTCTTTTTTTCTTCTTTTTTTATCTTTTCTATCTTTCTTTATTTTCCATAAAATATTTTTGTAATTTTGGATTAAAAATTCAAAAAATCACCCAGACTAAGCACAGTCTAATCGCCACTCTTGTGCAAATGTTTACCCAAGTGCGTTTAGACTGTTTATGTACCGGAGCACATTTCCAATTTTGTGAAAAACTATTGAAAAATGTGAAAATGCCGCCAAGCTGAGCACAGTATAAGTGAAAATGTCTCACAGAATTATTTGCAAATGCGTTTAGACTGTGACTATATGGGAGCACTTTTTTGAATTTTGTGTAAATTAGGCAACTATTTTTTTTGAAATTGAATTCGAAATGAAATGACGATTGTTAATAGATGATAGGAGATAATTTGATTTATAATTTACATTTGATTTGCTTAGATATAACAATAAGATAGCAAAAATAATGATAACATTAATATAATGATTACAGTATTTGTAATAATATATTTGAAAACGTTTAAAATTTCTCGAATATTTTATTACGGTACGGAAAGTTCCAGCAATTTGCCTTAAGGCACGATGCCATACACCCCACTAGTTTTTTTGGTATTTATAATCTCATTTGTTTAATTGTTACGTCATTAATTTTGATTTTTTCCTTATATTGTATAATTTCTTCTAATTGAATGATGAGACACATCTAGTCTCGAAACGTACAAATCTAAAATAATTATTTCTTCACAAATATTGAAATCGAAATATCATACTAAAAAATTAAAAAAGGACTCTACTGACGAGCAAACTAAATATAGACAGTTATAGAAAATAATTTTACTAATAAAAAAATTTAATAGCAACCTTCCTCGAACAAATTTCATTGCATTTCCAGTGAAAAAAAAAGAATCTACTGACAAGCAACAGAAGGCCTTACTTATAAGCGAAATGTTAAAAACTGAAAAATGATTAGAAAAGGACTCTACTGACGAGTAAAATGAAAATCGACACGAGATGCAGATGAATGATCTTTCGACTTAAATAATTGAAAATGAATTTTTTTTGCATTTATCGACGTTTTGAAGGTTTCTGAACATTTTTAAAGGGCATACCTTAGAAACTAAATGGATGTGTGTGCGTGTGTGTGTGTGTTTTGTATTTCAATTGCTTTTGAGGATAAAAATTTATTACATCTTTATAAAATATTTTTGTAATTTTGGATTAAAAATTCAAAAAATCGCCCAGACTAAGCACAGTCTAAGCGCCACTCCGGTACAAATGTTACACCCAAGTGCGTTTAGACTGTTTATGTACCGGGAGCACTTTTCCAGTTTTGTGAAAACTATTAAAAAATGTGAAAATGCCGCCAAGCTAAGCACAGTATAAGTGAAAATGTCTCACAGAATTATTTGCAAATGCGTTTAGACTGTGACTATACGGGAGCATTTTTCCAATTTTGTGTGAAAACTGTTGAAAAATGTGAAAATGCCGCCAAGCTAAGCACAGTATGAGTGAAAATGTCGCACAGAATTATTTGCAAATGCGTTTAGACTGTGACTATGCGGGAGCACTTTTTCAATTTTGTGTAAATTTGGAAACTATTTTTTTCAAATTGAATTAGAAATGATAAATTGACTTATTATTTACATTTGATTTGCTCACAGTGTTAACTCAGATATAACAAGATAGCAAAAATAATGAAATTTACACTATTTGTAATATAACGTTTAAAATTTCTCGAATATTTTATTACGGTACGGGAAGTTCCAGCAATTTGCCTTAAGGCACGATGCCATACACCACTAGTTTATTTTAATTTATTCACAGATTTTCCTACAAAGCCTTACAAGGTGCAATTATGATAACATTCTATAGAGACGAACCACGTTTTTCTCAACCTCATCAATTGTTGACACTTTTAATGGACATTGATTCGCTTATAACAAAATGGAGATGTAAGTAAAATTTCTTATTTAACTAACCACGTACTTGCAAATATTAATAATTTTTTATTTCCTAGATAACCACGTTATCATGGTTCAAAGAATGATCGGATCACAACAACTTGGTACAGGAGGTTCTTCGGGTTATCAATATTTACGGTCAACTTTAAGGTTTGTTGAGGTTAAAAATATTATTAACAATTAGATTTATTATATTTTTATTATATTTTAGTGATCGTTACAAAGTTTTCCTGGATTTGTTCAATTTGTCGACGTTCTTGATTCCGAGATCTTTGATTCCAAAGTTGACGTTGGAGATGAAAAGTTATTTGGGGAACTCTTAGCGGAAAATTTGGATTGTTTTAGTTTTAGTTGTAATGGTAAAATTTTTAATGCAAGTGTAAAGATTAATAAATATTTTTAACTGTTCATGTTTTGGCCAGAAAATTCGATTTTCTGATTTCATTTATCATGTCGTTCTGAATCGAATGGGACCAAATTTAGAAAAACGTGATGGTTGAGTGATTTTGGGGATTGTGCTGATTGGTTTTTGGTGAACATTGGCTATGCAATTTTTTTGTAAGCAGCTTTTTTTTCTGTTCTAAATAAATCTAATACAATAAGAATCTAGTCAGAATGTAATATGATTCAAGTAAGAATCCAAGAAGAACCGTGGTAAAAAATTACTAAGATTCTAGTAAAAAGTTTATGAAAAATTAAGAAGGATGTAATAAAAATCTAACAAAATCTTTTAAGAGTCCAAGAAGATCCTTAAACAGATTCCATTAGAATCTTTTAAGAATTTTCATAAGATTCTTATAAATTTTTTACTAAGAAGAATCTTATAAATACCTCAACTGTTATGAATAATATAAAATAATAGGGCAGTAATGGATCATATAAAAATCTCAGATTTCATAAATTATATAAAACAATAGAGGAAGTAATGTTTCAAATTTCACAAAGGGGAGTAATGTGGCAATTTGATTCAACTTTAATTAAATATAATATAAATAGTACATCAACGAAACAATAAGAAAACAAATAAAAGCAAAATAAATAATAAAGAGTTTATCTGAAAGGGAGTAATGTAACAATTAGTTGTCTTTGATGGTGAACCATAAAACGAGTATATTTTCATGGCATATCAACTTTTATAAATATATTAATAAGTTTTACAAAATTTAGGAAAGAAAATCTTAATTGGTTCTTATAAAGAATAATCTTAGTTAGAATTTTTATTTTAGAAAGTTTTGGTAAGATTTTTATTTGATTTTTTTTTAGATTCCTATTGATGTCTTATTAGATTCTTAACATAATGTTATTTAGATTCTATTTAGAATCTAAGATTTAGACACTAATTAATATGCTTCTCAAATTGAATCTCATCTAGAATTTTATAAGATTTTTATTTGAATAATATTAGATCTTTGTGGAATATTATTTGATAAATCTCATATTCTTACTAGAATCTTGTTTGAATCATATACAGGATCTAATTAGATTTTTGTCGGAATCATATTTCACTCTAGTTGGATTACTAGTTATATACTTATGAAATTGAAGATAGAATCTCATTGCAAACATGTAAATTTTTGTTTGTGTGACAAACTAATATTTATTACATAAACTAATTGATAATCAAACTAATAAATAAAAAATTACACGAAGTCGCATCATACTTTACGTAAAAAGAATTCACAAAAAATCTAACAAAAGTTCAATAAGAATCTAACAATAATCCCATAAAGATCTTACAAAGATCTGAAAAGTCTCTTGATAAATATTTAACAATGTCATATGTCATATGATTCTAATAATATTCTAACAAGAATCTTATGAAAATCTACGTGGCAGAATAATGATTGGAATTCAATGAGAATTAAATGAGAATTTTAAGAGAATCTAAAAGAAAATTTAATACAAATTTGAGATGAATGTTAAAAAGTCTGAGAAGAATTTTAATAAGAATTTCTTAAACTTATTAGAACCTTTTAAGATTTATAATTGCTTTTTATGATATTATCATTAGCTTTCACCTAATAATATATCATCAGATTTTCCAGAACCTCATCGGATATTTATCGTGATTACATTGCACTTTCAAAAACATAATAAATATCTAACCAAATTTAACAAAAATTCAAAAATATTATAAGAATCTGATTTTTTTAATAAGAATCTCAGAAGAAAAGAATCTCATTAGAGCCTTTTAGAATTCATAATTGAATCTTATAATATTGTCATTAACTTTCCTCTTAGATCCTATGAATCAAATATTATAATATCATCAGATTGTCCAGAATCTTTTCGGATTATTATAGTGATTACATTGCGCTCGCCAGAAACATAATAAATATCTAACCAAATTTAACAATCCGAGAAGAAAATAATCTTATCAGAACCTTGCAAGATTCATAATTGGTTCTTATAAGATTTTCGTTAGCTTTTCCTTGGATTCAATAAATCTAAAGAGAACTTTGTGCGAATTTAAAAACATTCTAACAAAAATCTCAAGAAAAAGAATCTTTATGAA